TAGCGCCCATGTAAAATACCGCTAGGTTAAATATCTATTTCTGGACCAATTCATCACAAAATTTGAATCTGAGACGTAGAATTTCTTCACCACATTGAGATCTGTCGATTATACGTCTCAATTTGCTGCAATTTTGAGTAATGAATATGAAATAGAAGTCAGAAAATTTTGTGAAAAGTTGGTAGTTTATAGATGACGTGCACCATAACTCAAAGGACACCCGGCTTCCCGAGATTATTTCCGCAAGAAATTATCCGTCCCTCCCCTGCGGAATCCGGATAACAAGGGAGACGGGGACCGACCGAACTTCGAAGAAGATCGGTGGAAGCTCGAGGTATTACGAAGTAATAAATACTATAGTACTACGTAGTACTATTATAGTAAGTAAGTACTATGAAGGGTTGAGTAAAAACCGAAGATTACACACCGCCCCTGGTCTATTAATATTAATAGTAGCGTTATCGGCCGTCGCCTGTTAATAATGATAACGTTAATCCAAAAACTCACATGTCAATTAACCTTAGCGAACGTAAACAATCAATTTAAGAGCTTCAATCAATTTAAGATAAAATGTGCATGAGCCAATGAAAAGACGCGAAATTTCCTTGATCCAATGAAACGACGCGAAATAACCTAACCACACAATTTATATGTAAAGAGGTATACGTTATTCAAGATAACAATATGCGTCCTAAATAGATTGTTAAAATTAGATCAAACTTGCTTGGTTTTTATTGATTTAGTCAATGGAAATACACCGAAACCCAATATAATTGATATGAGGTTGTTCCCCATTAATTCAGCTACAATCTCCGGGCAAGTTTGTTGTATGAGCGGGGAGCTTTGGAAGTTCTCCCCAGCCGCCTTCCTCAAATGCGTCTTAAATTGATTGTTTACGTTAATATTTTGTCCGCATGTTTCCTCAAAGAAATTGTCAAGGGGGACGAGCAAGTAGGAGGGACGACGACGAGGAACCCTTGTGTGGTCGAGAACAAAAGCAAAAGTGATGATTAACGGACTGCTTAGCTGACCTATGATTGGGCAGAAACAGTCCGGCTTCTACAGAAATAGAACACCGGATAATTCCGGAGTACCTGATATTATTCGTAAGTGACCGAACCTCTGCGAAAAAGGCCAAAGCAAGAACGGCCAAAGTGCCTCTTCTTGACAGCCACCCCACTGGGCATTGAGAAGGCAATGCCAAAGGCAAATAGGACTTAGCGAAAAATTCGCAAAGGCCAAAAGGCATGTCACTACAGGCCACCCTGAGAACAGAGGCGAAGGAGGTAGGACAGGAGCACGCATAAAGTAGTGTTCAGCACATAAATGCATGGTTACTCATAGAGCAGAGAAAAGGACAAGGGGATGCACACATGCAAGGGTGCTCAAAGAGCGTGGTAAAGACCAGAAAGTGCATAGATGCAACGAAACATAAGATAGCGTGGCTAATAGTAGCGGGTAAAGATCCAAGTAGCATTGCCAGAAGCAAACATACAAAAAGGACATAGAGAGTAGGGGTAAAATCCATGAATTGCAAGTGCAGTCACTTGCACAAACCACTACGCCACTCGTACGGCCGATCCTTGAGCAGCGCCGCGGGCCAGACGGGACCGCCGACTTCAAAACGGCACGAGCAGACGTAGAATGCACAAATCGCCACAGGTCGAGAGGAGGATGAAGGTGGAGAATTAGAAGTGTTTGCTTAGAAAGCAGGTGCAAACAATGCATGATAAATATCAATAACAGCCAAAAAGGCATAAATATAGTGAGTGCGATGCCATATGCAATGGTCACTACATTACGCGACCACAAATGTAATCACTAAGGGCGTAGAGTCGCAGAGCGAGGTAGAACATGAGAAACGCATGTTCCGGGTGCGCCTTCGTAAAAATGTCCTCAAGTTGTTCTTTGGTAGGGCAATAATGGAGATTAAACTCCTTATTCTCAACGAGATTGCGAACAAACATAAAGCGCGCATATATCAATGTGCTTGGAGCGCCCATGATGCTCAACATTTTGGGCGATGCTGATAGCATACTCATTGTCCTTGTGAACCGAAATCGGTTGATCACTAGTATGATGTAGCTCGGCAGCGAGTTGTCGAACGTATATACATTCTTGCATGCAAAGGGCAAGAACCACAAACTCGATCAAAAAAGAGGGGTCTAAAAACCGAAAATTCAGTAAATTCGCGCACCAAAACTCGACCAATGGGCAAAACCCGGGTTGCGCAGAAACTGCCATATGTTTTGTAAGGCATATGCCAAGTCTGGGCGAGATCCCATCGCTAAGTACATAACACTTCCAACAATGGAAGGATAGATCACAGAATACGTTTGGAACGATCACGGACGTTTTCCCAGCCGAGAATATCTCGAACAGGACCGAAGTCCTTCATCTGGAAGTGATAGTGAGTCCTTGAGAGCGGCAGCAAGGGCCTTGGTAGGAGAAATGATCAAATAGCTGCAAATATTGATGGAGTTTTACGTAAAAATGTATGGTTCTGGTCGACCATACAAACAGTAGGATGAATTCCGATGAATCTTTAAGGCCCAGGTCGGGGAAAAACCCTGGACAACTATTCAGCCCTGAACGGCTTATTATCCCTCGATTTATTCGAATTATGACTGTGGTATTTTCTCGTGTCCAGGGAAGTCCTCCCACGGCAACGAAGTGAAGTGCAGTTTTGATAAGCGAAATGATTCGATGCAGATAATACGTGGTATAGTTCTGTCATGATACGTTGTAGCGCCAATTTGAGGCACCATAACATGAAAGGTCCGACCGATAGCGGTCATCTACGAACAAAACAGGGGTATACTTAATTCAAGATAAAGGCAAGGGCTAAAGCTATTGTATGTCAAACAAATACTGCAAGTACATCATGGCTGCAAAGCAATCTCTTCATTGACGAGAGGCTACGCATACCGTGTCCAGGTACCGACTTCGTAGATTAGTAGGACTGTTCCTCCACCTGCCTAAAGGAGCAGTACAGTAGTATGTATGGCAGTACTGTAACGGTGGGTCTGACTCTGTTGAATTATTTCACCATTACCAGTTTAACATGATGTTTGTAAAGGCATAACCCATAATGGCCACAAAGTCCGGGCCAATTATTCATAGATGACCATTCTGAATGACCACCTAACCCTACCCTAACCCTAGCGCTATTATTCCACCCTAACCCTAGCACTATTATTGGTTGGAAATTAAACTAAGAGTGACATGATTGGCTAGAACAGGAATAGAATTATGTGATTCGCTGAATTAATCTCATACAA